GAATTCTGGGAGTTGAAGTCCACCCATCTTAAAGTTGCCAAGGTTGAGGAACCCTGTCCTAGACCACACTTTCACAGGTCCACAGCTAGCAACTGTATAAAAGAAGGGCAACTTTTAAAACCCAAGAAACTTTTATCCATTTTTCTCAAACAGTAATCTTTCCTCCCTGATGGCCAATTCTGAACCTGGGAGAATTTCAAAAGCAACTCATTTTGGGGAGAAGATCTGTTTTTTGTTTTTTTTTTAAAAAAAAATCCTATACGTAAGCCCTTCATTCCAAGCTACCGTACCCTCCAGTTCTTCAGTAAGGCATTTCTGTTTTGAATGAGGTCTTCTGGGAATATTGTTTTCTTTTCTTGGCCCATGGTACTCTACTCTAACCATGCTGTAACTGAATATCACGCATGGGGATACTTACATACGGGAAAATGTGGAAAACAGTTGGAAACTCAAGAGAGGATTGTGTCCAACATTGTTAAGGGATGGTTTGGCTGACCTTCCTTCTTGGATTTGCTGAAGAGCATCTTTTCTCTCTGACAGCTCCTGCTGATGTGAGTCAGAACAGGCGTTATCTTTTCTTGTTGACATTTGAGTCTATTACAGGCTTAAAGCCGTGATGGTTTTATTTCCCTTGGGCTGTGAATATCACCATATCCCATCACACAAACGCTGTATGTGGTTTTAGCCTGATTGAACTTAGAGCTGTATGTATTGGTCACGGATCATATACTGTAGTGTGGCTCTTTCAAAGAGGATTTTGCGCATGCCACATTTTAGAATGAGCCTAATTATTTCTTACTTTTGGGACCACCGCTTGTTACAGAATGTAAACATGTGAGCTAGCGCAAAGTCCTGTGAATCTTTCCAGATGTGGTATCATAAGTATTTATAACAGGGTTGGCAACCATTTCAGATGTAGAATGTTCCCTCCCTCTGCCCCATGACCAAAATGCCTTGTATGAAAACCTTGTACTCTTGTGAAAAATTGCCAAATGTTCATGACATCTTTTGAGAAATGGCCCAATTTTCTGTTATCTGAGCAATCTCCTTATCCTAAAACATTGTGAATGTTTGAATATGTACTAATTTGATTTTGTGAGATCACGGAAACACTTTTGGGAGGGACAGGTTCCCTGGTCGTTCACGTGCCATATTGCCAACTCTTAATTTTCACTTCATGAGGTCATTTAAGGGTTAGATTTTAGACCTTCTTTTTATTCACTTTTTTTTTTAACTGCTTGGAGGAATTAGAAAGTACAGGATTGGTTGGGTACAATAGCAGTCCAATGTAACAGCCATATGTTGCCGCATACCAATTATTCTTAGAAAAAAAGATGGTTGCCTGCACATACCAATAGGGCAGCCATATTTTTCTTTCTTATTTCAGTAGTCTAATAACATGGCTTCCCCCACTGGTATATGTGAGTGGCCATCTTTTTTAGATTCAGAGATGGACAGTACCTAATGGCAAACAGCTGCTTTCCAAAGCTTTTTCCCATCTTTCAGAAAGAAAAAAAGAACACATTTCTAACTTACAAGTATTTCAAACATTTTTTGGAAAATGAACATTTCCATTTTGGTTCGTGTATTTTTTTTAAGGATTCCTCCAGAGGGGTCTGAGTTATGAGCTGCATCAGATGTAGTAGTGAATATAGTGGAAAAAAAACCCTATAAATTGAGCCAAGTCTGTTCCATCTATGCTTAAGAAATGTGTGTGTTGAATGCGTGCAACGATATAGCATACACTGCATTCTTTTGGCATTTCAGGAGCCTTTGAATTATACTTACCCTAATTGGCTTCTTATGGTAGCGCTGTATCCTTCAACAATGGAAAAATGTGGAGGGGGGGACTGAATTTTTTTCTTGGCATTTTCAGTGTCTTATAAGGGTCCTATAAAAAGCAAATGCTTTTGAACTTCATTGTGAAAGAATCAACAAAATAACTGGAACGTGGGAAGTTGTTCTCAGAGGTGTTAGAACATTTGCTTATCTCACCAAAGGTGGTGATGATGATAATGATGTTAATGATTCCTTTCTGCTTATAAGGAATCATTAACATCTTTCCCAGCTGTGTGCCATCCAGGATAATGGGAAATTTAGAGAATTATAGGGGCTATAATCCCAACAGAAAGAACCCAAGTGATACACTTACTAAAGTTTTGAACCCAGACTGGGGACTCCCAGTTTCAAGTCCAAAATGAAAGACGCTTGCTGAGTGACTCTGAGATAGTTCTCTCTATTAGCCCAATCTACTTCCAGGGTTGCTGTGGAGAAAGAATGGAGAAAGGGATGTACATAATTCTACTAAGAGCCACTGGAAGAAAGGCAGTCTTGAGAAATCAAAGAAAGAACATATGTAGAGGGCACCAGGCTGGGAAAAGACTGTTCTCTTTTGCATAAAGAAAAAACTCTTGAAGTCCATGACCTTTTTTTTTTAATTGCTTTGATGAGGATCTAGAGAAGTAGAAAGGTCTTCAATATTTATAGGCATGGGTGTAAAGTATCGAAAATGAAGAAGTGAAGATAACCAGAACATGTATTCCAATCCATTCCCACACCAAAATAGCAGACATATTTTGCTGACATGTACATTTTGCACAGATGGAGCCCAATGAACTTGTATGAAGTGCTATTCTTAATACATGTCAGCCATTTTCAGTTCATCCTAGGGTGTGAAATATCTAGGTCAGTAGGAAGGTCTTCCAGTAAAATTTGATGTTTGGCAGTAGTTACCGTATCACTCGCTTAGTATAAAAAAAAATGAACTTCTCTATAATCTTTTGTTACGCACAATGAGTTCCCGTTCAAATAAGTTGAAATTTGTCTATTTGCAATCCCATTCTCTTTTTTTCTACCTTGTTTATTTGTCAGAGACTATGATGCAAAGCCTTAATTTTACCATAATTTGTACTGAAGGAACTAGAAACTTAATTTTGGATCTACAGCTTTTAGCAAGAGTCAGGACCGTCTCCATCAGTGGCTTGTGTAAACAGTAGAGCCAACACACCAGAAATATTGTTAACTGGGGGAAATTGAATTTGTTCACATTCCTCTACCCTATAATGGAATTACAGCTATTAAGATCAGGTAAGGAGGGAACAGCAAACTTCTGGCTTCTGTTTGCTTTGAGAGAGCCTCTAGAACAACCTATATTGAGTGGTGAAACCAATAACTTAGAAGGTTCTGGGCTGACCCCCCAAAATTGCAGAACTCATAACCTCTGAAATCTGAATATCTGCCTTGTAATTGCTACCATTGAGGCTGTTAGTATAAACTGTGAATCAAAATCTTTTTTTCTTTTTTTCTGTTCAAAATACGTGCTGGAGTATAGTTTCCCATGATCTAGTTCAAGGATACAGCAAAGGAATGGTATACGGTGCTTTGCATGCAAATGGCCCCAGATTCAAGCCACAGATGTTCCCACTGAACACGGGAAGCACCTTTTGCCTTCCGAATCTCCGCCAGAGTAGAGAGTGCGACCTACAGTGTGGGCAGGTGGTCAGATTAGGAGTAAGCCAGCTTTTAATATTCTTGAGAAACCGTCAAGTGTATATATACTGAAAATTACTTATGTGGGAAATACTGTTCATCTTCGGATGTTACATTTTTCTAAATTGTATCCAATGCATCTCTCTCCCAGATTACAGCCTGATCATCTTGAATCAGAAGCCAGCAGAGATAGAGCCCATGGACACCAGTGTAGCTGCAGATTTTTGCCTTGGTATCTGCTAGTCTTTTTGCCCCATCTCACTTTTCTTTTGACCTCGTAATCTAAACAGTGATGGGGAATCTAAGGCCCTCCAGATGTTGCTGAACTATAATTCTCAGCATCCCTCACCATCGGCCTTTGGACCAGCTGGGAATTTTAGTTCAGCAATATCTGACAGCCACAGTTTTTCCAGCTCTTCATGAAAGGCCTTGTTCAGCATTTTGCATTCATATTCCATTAGAACCTTTGTTTCTTCTTCCATCCTGCTTCTGCTTTTCTAACCTTTTTCCAATGTTTCTTCTATCTCAATTCTGATTTTATAATCATAGGAAAATGAGATAAGAAGGGGATATCTGGCTGGTCTGACCCCAGTCAGAATGC